TTTTGTCAGGGAAACTATTTTCAAAGCAATACGAAATTAATAATATAGCATTTTTTTAATTAAAAAAAATGTGTTGTCTTCTGGAAGCAGATGGCTGACATTTTTTTTTGCTTCCAGTGTCCACTTTTCCAGGAAATGACTCCCATCTGCAGCAAGAGGAATGCTGACCTTTACTGTGCATGTTAGTCACTTCTTTTAGCTCAGTGCCAGTGTAATAATATTACATATATTGTGAATTTGGTTGAAAGTATCTTCTAACCAGATTGTTTTCTTTCTGGAGTTTTAAACTTCTGGAGATAGAAGGTTTGTGTGTGTTTTCTTTCTGGAGTTTTAAACTTGTGGAGATAGAAGGTTTGTGTGTTTCTAAAACTGAAATTGAATTCTTCAAGTTGACTAGTGAATGGAGAAAGGAAAATTCTTGGTTTGGGTCAAATAGTTAAATGTGGTCCCAGGACAAAAAACCTGGGAACTTGTTAGAAATGCAGATTTGCAGGACCAACTCCAGACTTACGGATCCTAGAACTCTGGGGAGGCAGGGCCCAGAAGTCTGTGCTTTGTCAAGCTGTCCGGGTAATTCTGATGCCTGCTGCAATTTGGGTACCAGTGGGTTAAAGGTTGTTTTATTGTTTGTAGAAGAGAGCATGGTATTGTAAAATTACATGTGTGCTCCTCATAAAGCTGATAAATCTGGAAAAAAAAGCTTTGTAGCCAGAAAATCATGGTTTGACCCTTACTCTATCACTTCTTAAAAATATATCAGACAAGTTGCGTAGCATCTCTTAGCCTCCAGTTTTCTTCATTTGTAAAATATTAATAATCACAGAAATCACGGATCACTGTTATATTAGGTGTCCAATAAATAATGATTTGAAAGCCGCACAAAACTTAGAATTAGAAGCAAACATCTTTTGATGGAGAAGTGTCATTTTTATGGAAGAAAAAAATTAAGAATATTCAAGCTTCCTCCCAGTTGTTGGAATTTTTTTGGAAGTTCCAAGTTGCTTTGAGTAATTTCATACGCTTAAAAATAGTCATGGAAAATTTTCATCTTTTGAAAGTCTTGAAGGTACCTTGAATTCAGAATGGGAAGGATATCCTGGGACAGCCTATAGTTTCTTGTTTATCCTTCTATAATTTCTTAATGCAAATATAAACAAATATAAATAATTATTACTCCCTTACCACAGAAGATAATACAGTGTACACACTGTTCAACCTCCTTTTTTCATGTTTAACAGTGTATCTTGGATATCTTTTCATATAGAGAGCGCCATGATTGTTTTTTTTTTTTAACCTGGAAAACTTTATTGAGGACTACTTTATATACAATGAACTGCACTCAATTTAAATATATAATTTGATGAGTTTTGACAATTATATATACCTGTGAAGGTACCACAACAGTTAAGATACAAATGTTTCTCTTTTTGTTTTGTTTTGTTTCATAGTATTTCATTGTATGGATGTACTATAACTTTTTAATCAGTCTTCTGTTGATGAGCACTTGGGTGCTAATACAAGCAATTCTGTAATTAATAACCTTTTTCATACAGTGTTTCCTGTGTAAGCAGGTAAGTCTGAGGATAGATTTCCAGATGTGGGACTGCTGAGCCAAAGGGGAAATAAATAAATTTGGTAGATGTTGCCCTTGATAGACTTGGTACCAGTTTGAGCTCCCAATAGCAGTGTATGAAAGTACCTATTTGCTCTGTTTAGCTAACAGAGTACATTATGAAACTTTGGATTTTTGCCAATTAGGTGGAAAATGGTATTTTAATATAGCTTTAACTTGCAGTTTTCTTGTGAGTGAAAGTGAGCATATTTTTATATGTTAAAGGATAAGCCATTTGTAGTATTTATTTTTCTGTAAAATCTGTTCTTACTCTTCATCCATTTTCTTATTGGATTTTGGGTTTCTGTTAATTTCTAGGAACTGTAATCTTTATATATTAGGTTGACGAGCTCTTTTCTTTTCAAATATTTTTTTTTCTCCAGGTTGTTTGCTTTTTGACATTGCAAGAACTTTAGTTGAAGGGTGTGTTTTAGCTACTCAGGATCTCTTTCTAAAAGTTGCTTAGCTTTGATTTATTTGCTTTTCTTCCTCTTCCCTTTCACCTCTCCCTTTTTTTCTCCTCTTTTCCTTCCCCCTTCTTAACAAAGGAATTTGGTACAGCTTGAAGATGCTTTATTGTTGAATAATAATCAGTTGAATGGGTGGATGTTATTAAATGCTTTTAATGTGTATGACCCTGCCTCTTCTATTTTGAAGGCCATGTTTTTGGTATACTGCGCATTGGAGAAAGAACCTGTGCCAATGTCCTTGCCTCCAGCCTTGGTGCCACCTTCTAAGAGGAAAACGGTCAGTATATCAGGCTCTGTGTGGTTGGTCCCCACTTCATCACCAGTCAAGGAATCTTACCACTCCTTACCACCTGTAGGCATTTTACCTACCAAAGCATCATTAAAACAGGTATAGATTTATCAGTGTTAAAGGACTGTTTTGGTTTTTTTTTTTTAACAAAGTGCATGGCATTTAACAGTTGATTGCTTGATGAAGACAGAAGGAGCAACCAAAGGGATCAAAGGTTTAGAGCTCCCTCTGGATGAACCTGCATACTGTGATTTTCCAGAGAAAACTGATACTCCTTCTCCTGTATTTGGACTTAGTTAGGTCATATGGACATTTTATTGGCTTTGCCTTGATCTACCTTGAATTAAAGTTGGAGGTAGCAGGTGCTCCATGCTAATCTGGCATGTTTGCCTGGCATAGTTAATAGGTGTTTTTGTTTGTTTAATCTCTTGTTAACTCTTGATTTTTGGGGTTCAAATTATCCAGTTTTGGGTTGTCCAAGACATTTTTTTCCTCCAGCCTGCTTCTTGTCTGGTGGAATAAAGGAAGATAATGACAAGATATGCAAAGCAAACATTTTGGCTACAATTAACAATGCTGAATGAAACTATAAAATAATGGAGACTGAGAATTTCTGAATATTTTGTTTATACAGACTCTCCCAGTTACCCATATTAATGTGGTCATTCATAAATCAAGAGTTAATTGTGCTTGAATTTACTCATTACTTAAAAGGAAAAAAGTTAATGGACCTCTATAAATACTATAGTCTCAACTGACCTATATTTTTTCTTCTGTAACCACAGCATTTTGACTGAGGTGTGATGGAAGTGATACATTGTTGCTGTAGTTAGTAGTTAGTGGGGTAGAATTACTCAGAATTTGTGACAGATATCGGTCATGGGTTGAAAGAGTGACACTTCAAAGTTTTTTTCATTTGGCAGAAATTGTATGTGTGTGTGATATATATATATATATATATATATTTTTTTTTTATTTCTTTTTTATTGTTTTCTCCCCTGTAGTGGGTTGTATCACCTGCAGAAAAAGCTAAATATGATGAAATCTTCCTGAAAACTGATAAAGATATGGATGGATTTGTGTCTGGATTGGAAGTCCGTGAAATCTTCCTGAAGACAGGTTTACCTTCTAACTTACTAGCCCATATTTGGTAAGTCTTTATTTGAATTGATTTAAAAAACAAATGTGGTTTTGTATCAACTCTAGTTTTGTGCATTCTCATTTTTAGGCATATGTAAATAGGACAGATTTTGTTTCAGAATTATTTATAGAGAAAATTTAAAACAGGATTTCTTCTGGATAACAGACAACT